GGCCCCACGGTGCGCAAGTTCGCCAAGGTGGCTCTGGCAGCCGGCAGCCCCGCGCGCCCGCCGCCACCGCGGGGCCACGAGCCCGACATGGAGACCCTGATTCTGACGCCGCCGCCCGGCACGGCAGGCCTGGACCAGGAAGGCGAGGCTGGCCGCCGCGCGCGCGAGGTGGCCTTCATCCACATCCAGCGCGAGCTGCGCCTGCGCGGCGTCTTTCTGCGCCACGAGTTCCCGCGCGTGTACGAGCAGCTCTGTGAGTTCGTCGAGGCCAACCGGCGCTTTACGCCCACCACCATCTACCCCACAGATCGGCGCACGGGCCGCCCCTTCATGTGCATGATCATGGCCGCCTCCGAGCCGCGCTCTCTCGACTGGGTGACCAGCGCCAACCTGCTGGATGACCTCATGTGAGCCGCCGGGCTCGCGGGCCCACTCAGGCCCCGCTCCCTGGCTCAGGCCCCGCCCTGAGCCTACCCAGCCCGCTCAGGCCCCGCCCCAGGCTCCGCCCAGGGTCCTTACGCCCACGCCCCGCTTCGACTTCCGCCAGTCTCCGCCCGGAGTTTCCTCCATAGCCCCGCTCCCACCCAAGCCCCGCCCCCAGGTCCTGTCTCGAGCTCCGCCCCGAGCTCTTCCAGCCCCGCCCCGTCCCCCCAGTGCCCCCTCCGCTCTTTCCCCACCTGCCAGCACCCCGCCTTGTTCCCCGCAGACCCACCTCTTACCCCCGCCGCGCCCAACGACCTCCCTATCAGACCCCCCTCCCGCACCCTACTCTCAACAGCCACCTCGGCCCGGGCTCGCCCTAGGGCCCCCAGAGGCCGATCCTCGGCTGCTCGGTGCTCCCGGCTGGGAGGCGGGGTGGCCTGAGGACCGCCTGGGCCCTGCCTTCAGGCGGAGTGGGGGCACTACTGCACAGACCCCCGTCGCCCGCACACGGAGCCGGCGGCCCAATCGGTCCGCAGGGCTTCCGCTCCAGCAGCCGGGTGTTGACAAAAGGCCAGTCTTGTCACTTTGAACTCGCCTACTGGCCTGCCCCCCTGCCCGGAGGGATGCGCGGCCTCGGCTCCGCGCGGGCCCGTCGCACCCGACCCGCAGCCGGCCTGGGTCCACGGGCTCGTTCGCTTGGTCTGAGGTGTGTCCTGCTCATGGGCCTTTTCTCAGCGGAGAACACTCGCGGTGACCTGGCGAGGCCCTGCGGGTCACACGGTGCTGCCCGCTGATCCCAGTCCTGACCCGGACGGCAGAGACCAAGTCTGGGTCCTCACATGGACAGTCTTCTCCCCCTGCTGTCCCCTCACCTCTGGCCTTACTTCCGCCCTGGCCTGGGTCTGCAGGGCACCCGGGGGAAGCGGCAGGGACGGATTCGGAGATCTTCGGGCGAGGGCACAAGACACCCAGCCAGAGGGCAGGGGCCCAGGGTGAGGGTGGAGGCGCTGCCGCGCTGAGGCATGGCTGGGCGACGGTCGGGGTGCAAGTACCAGGGCGGAGCGAGGGCAATGATAGCGCAGTCCCTACCCCCGCTGGAGGCAGAAACGTGCGAAAAAAGGATTGATGGGCGGGGGGCTCTGCCCACAAGCATGTTGGACGAAAGAGGAGGACGCGCTTCCTGTGGGAGCAGGTGCGGGAACGAGCTAGTTGGCCAGTGTGGCGTCCACCGGAGGTGGGATGACCTGTCCCGTCTCAGGTTCTTCGATTGCACAGACGTTGCCCAGCGCTCGCTCTGGCCGTGCCCTGTGCTAAGGGCTGGAGACCTAAGCCTGACCTCAGGCCCCCTCCCTGGGGAGCTCACGGGCCCGGGACGACTCCAGGCCGGCGAAGTAGTGAAGCCTGGCGCTGCGAGAAGACATTGTGCCCTGCCCCGGCGGGACCCTCCTGGAGCCCCGAGCCCTCCATAAGACCCGGGGAGGAGGATATCGAACGAGATAAATCCTGAACGCCCCCAGCCCTTGCTGTCCGCCTGCCTCCGACCGTCTCCACCTTCCCCGTTCCTCGGCCCCTGACACGCCTGCGCGCCCGCCCCGGCCCCTGCGCGTTTGCACTGCAAGCTCATTTGCACCGGCCACGGCGCCCGCTTGTCCCGCGGCTGTCGCGGCCTCCCTGCATCCGGCCCCCTCGCCCAAGGGCCAGGCCAGGGCGACCCTGGAATGACTGTTTCCAGAGGGCAAGCGCTTTCGAACCAAGTAAACTAGAACTTGAATGTAGCCCCTGCTGCCTCCTTGGGGAGTGTGGGGGGTGTGGGGTGGTGGAGGGGGCCTCGGACAGCGGGAGGCGGGGTGGTCCCTGGACAGCAGCGGGTGGGCACTCGGGGCGCGTCTTTCGGACCGCAGGCAACATCTTTCCCTTTCCCCAACCTCCCGTGCCGCCTAACTGCCCCCTCCAAAGGCGCCCCCCGCCGCCTACTCCACCTTCCCAGCCCTGCTGGAAAAGAACTTTTCCGTCGGCAGGATTTTAATCACGGCCCACTCCACGTTTCCTCGTTTCCCCTTTAAGCAGGACCAGCGTGGTCTCAAGGCTGTAAGGAGTTGGGCTGCAATTGGCTAAGCTGCGTTTCGAGTCGGCGGGACGATTGGCTGAGGCTACAGGCCTCCGGCAGCATCCCCCCACAGGATTGGTAGGGCTCACCCAGAGCCCGCCTCCCGCGCTACCGACGTTGACCCAGATCGGGAGGGGGAAAGGGCTGCAGGAGCTGGGGGGCTGGGCGCGCGCCGGCGGAACATGGCGACGGCGGCGGACCTCGCTGAGATTCCCGATGTGGACATCGACTCCGACGGCGTCTTCAAGTACGTGCTGATTCGAGTCCACTCGGCGCCCCCTTCCGACGCCCAAGCCGCGGAGAGCAAAGAGATCGTGCGCGGCTACAAGTGGGCCGAGTACCACGGTGAGGGCGGGGCCGGCGTCCCCGGGGCGGGGCCTGGGGCGGGGCCGGCACCTGTGGGCGGGACTGAGGGGGGCAGGCGGGGCTCAGGAGGCGGGGCCGGGGGCGTCGGTGAGAGGGGCCAGGCGCCGGCGCTGCTGGGGTCCAGTACCACGGAGCAGCAGGGCGGAGCATCGGGCCCAGAGGAGTGGGCAGGGCCCCGGACGGGAACCCGGGCGGGCGGGGTCTGATCCGTGCTGGCCCGCAGGAGTGGGGAGTGGAGAAAGGGTACTATAGTCTGATCCCTCTACTGGTGGATCCTCCTCTTTATTCTCTCCACCGGGGAAGGGACTGCCCCAAGCCGAGGCTCAAGCCCCTTCCCGTGCTCCTGGCCTCGGGGGTTCTGACCCTCGGCGTCTATGCGTGCACATCCTGAGGCCACCCTCCCTCCTAGCTGACATATACGACAAGGTGTCAGGCGAGATACAGAGAAGGGGTTACGACTGTGAGTGCTTGGGCGGCGGGCGGATCTCCCACCAGAGCCAGGACAAGAAGATCCACGTGTACGGCTACTCCATGGTGAGCTGCTGCCCTGGGAGGTGCTGGGCCCCAGTCCTGCCCTCCTCGGCTCTGGCCGGTTCACCTGATGTGTCCATGAGTCAGGGACTGGAACGTGGGCCGGGCCACCTCTCACAGCACCCCCGTGTCCTCCTGCATTCGACTCGGGTTGTTTTCCATGCAACCTTAGAGGCGGACGCACTCTGTACGCAGAGGTCTGGCCCTCAGATACACAAAGGCCCCTGCCCTAGCGGCCCTGCTGGGCTCTTGCAGCCCTCTGGCTCTTTGGGCCCTGCCCTCTAGGCAGCCGGTATTGGGGTCCTGCCACCAGCCTGTCCTGCCGAACTTAGAGTCCCCTTTTCCCTTCGAAAAGGCCACCACTGCATACACATAGTGCTCACACAGCCTTGTGGTGCCCAGCACGCCCAGGCCTTGGATGGCAGGGTCCACTCTCAGCGTCTGTTCACCTGCGAAGACCACCTTGTCCCTGGAGAGCCCCCAGGGTGGTCTGGGTGCCAGGAGGCTTGGCTGCACCCTGAGCCCCAGAGCTCTGCTATCCCCTTCCCCCTGGTGCCAGGCCAGGGCAGGGGGCGAATGGAAGGGCCCAGCTGGAGCCAGCACCTGCCCCCTCTCTCTCCAGGGCTATGGGCGTGCCCAGCACTCCATCTCGACAGAGAAGATCAAGGCCAAGTACCCTGACTACGAGGTTACATGGGCTGATGACGGCTACTGAAGGCCTGGGCCCAGCCGCCCCCGACAGCCATGCCAAAATGCTCTGCCCCTGCCCAAGCCGCCCTCCTCGGGGGTCAGGCCAGCCTCGCCTCTGACCCCAAGTGGTGTGCTGTCCCTGTCGGGCCCTAGAAATAAGACAGCCTGGGCCCCAGGGCCACCCAGAGGAATTAAAAGTGTTGTCACCGCTGCCTGGTTCCTGGACTTTGTCTCATGGCTTCCCTACCCCTGCCCAGCTCCTAAAACCCCAGCTCAGCCCAGATCTCAGACAGAAGCAGGTGGGTGGCAGGGAGGAGGGGTCCCTGGCAGTGGGCCCATGCTGGCTGCCCTTCCCCTGCTCCCTCTGCCTCCAGAGGCCCTGGGGTGCTGATGCACACTCAGCCCTTTGGGGTTTGCTCAGGGGCCCAGCACGCAGCTGCTCCTCTACCCCAGTTTATGGCCTGATTGCCCCTCACACAGCAGCTATCCCCAAGGACGTCTGGGAGAGGCCTCGTGATCCTTGCGCAAGGAGTCAGTGCTGGCCCCTCGGGTCTGCTGCACGGCCACAGGAGGCCTCGCTGCTGTCCCCCGAGATCCCACAGGAATGAGCACCACAATCCCCTGCTTCTGAGACCAGACCCCGAGGCCCCTAGACAGTCTTCAGTGGAGCAGGAGGTTGGGCTCCAACTGATGCTGGCCCCGCTGCCCAAGCCCTACTGGCCCTGCTGCCCAAGCCCTAATGGCCCCAGCCAGGCTTCCTCTGCCCCATGGGGGCCCCCCCCGCCATGCTGGGGTGCAGTGGGTGGAAGGCCAGTTGGTGGTGGGTAACGAGGGGCAGGGGAGTTGAGCTCTCGGGGGGAGGTGGACTGTGGGCAGAGCGATGGGGTGACTAGAAAAGAAGCGGGGGCCACCTAGAGGGCATGAGGGCCCTCAGGGGGTCCAGTGTCTGCACCTGACACGTTCGCTCATCGGGCTGGTCAGTGTGCCCCTCGCTGGCACAAGTCCAAAGGCCGGGCTCTGCGCTGCGCTCACCGGAGTCGTCGGCCTGCCCTTGTGCAGTGCCGTGCGACCTGCCTCGTACAGATGAGGAAACCGAGGCCCTGAGGAGTGACATCAGCCCCAGGTCCCCCCGCAGAGCCGGGCTCCTGCACCCTGTGCCCACCACAGCCTAAAGGGCCTCCCAACCAGAGTTGGGGTCTGCAGGCGAGAAGCAGACCCCGCCCGGCCGCTCAGGGGCAGTGTCACCTGCTGACTAAGTGATCCCATGCCTGGTGCGTGGCGTGCAGGGGTGGGGGCTCCCCAGGGGAATGTAGGGCAGGCTTTGGATTTTGCACATGGCTGGGTCCTGACCTCAGTGGCCCGGGTGGAGCTAGAGGTGGCACAAGAGCAGTGGCTGCAGTCTCCGCCCACCCCCACCCTGCCCCCCTGCCTAAGTCCCAGTTTGTAGGGCGCCCGGGCCCCACCAGCTTCCTGTGGGCCCCCACCGGCCAGGCGTCCGAGGGGCAGGCAGGCGGGGTTGGACCCTGGCCGGGGCTCCCTGGGTATTTATGGCCGGGTATGTGTGTTCAGCAGCGTCAGCAGGGGCGACCCAGAGGGCGGGGAAGCCTCAGGTACCTGTGGGGCCGAGCCTGACCCACAGCAGAGCAAAGCCGGCCGCAGGGCCGCAGGGCTGACAGCAGACCAGGTCCCCTCCAACTCCGTGCCTCACTCCCTCAGCCAGCCATGCGTTGGCCCGGCCACCTCCCGGCCACCCTGGCCCTGCTCGTGGGTGAGCTGCTGGCCCTCCACGCAGGCAGCCGTCGGGGTGGGCACGGGGCTCGGAGGCTGCCGTTGGGGTGGGCACGGGGCAGGGGCCACGGCCGCCCACAGGGGTCTCGGAGTCCTGAGCCTTCCTGCTGGGGAAGGGCAGGAGTTTTGCCCTCAGCTCCCCAAGACAAGGGGGCCAGGAGGCAGATTGGGGCGGGGGCACCCTCCCAGCAACCTGGGCCTACGTCTACCACTCTCGGGCACCCTCAGATGTGCCCCGGGGCCCTCCTGCAGTTCCCAGCTCCTGACTGGGCAGCACTATGGAGTCCTGCTGCCTTTCCCAGCCACGTCCCACGGTGGGGCCTTGTTAACTTGCACTTGCCCGGACCCCCGCACCGTCCTGCCCTCATTGGGCTGGAGACGTGGGAGGCCCCTGATAGGGAGCCCTCAGCAACAGCACCCTCTACCCAGTGTGGCCCCACGGCGGAATGACCTCCAGCTGCCTGGGGTTTACCAGGATATCCTGGGCAAACCTGGGCGGCTGGTCACCCTGTTCTCCAGCCACCTGGCTGCCTCTGCCAGCAGGGTCCCTGAGCTGCGCCTGGGTTCCCAACTACTGCGGGAGTCCCCAGGAAGCTGTGTGCAACTTCGTGTGTGACTGCAGGGACTGCTCGGATGAGCTGCAGTGTGGTGAGTGGGGCCCCGTGGGCAGTGCTGGTGGGTGGGGGTGCCCCATGGCAGCTGCTGACCCTCACTCTCCCCAGGTTTCCACGGGGCCGCTCCCGCCCCAGGCGCCCCCTTCACCTGCAACTTTGAGCGGGACTCCTGCGGCTGGCAGGACGTCAGCACCTCGGGCTACAGCTGGCTTCGGGACCGGGCAGGTGCTGCGCTAGACTGGCCCAGGGCACGCACAGACCACACGCTCGGCACCGACCTGGGTGAGCCCCCCCCCCGTCTGCCCCCTCCCTTCCCGTCTCCTGCCCGGTCCCCTGACTCTCTCATCCGGCCAGGCTGGTACGTGGCCGTCGACACCCACCGCGGGAAAGAGGCGTCCACGGCAGTCCTGCGCTCACCACCCCTGCACGAGGCAGCCGCCCCCTGCCAGATCCGGCTCTGGTTCCACGCAGCCTCAGGAGGTGTGCTGCCCAGGCCCCCCTACAGGGTGGTGCCCGAGGGGAGGGGGGCTGCCCTAGGGAGGGGCTGAGAAAGGACAGACCGCTGTGGAGAGTGGGGGTTCCCAAAGGAGGGGCAGGGTTGGGGGCAGATAGGGGAGGCACTGGGGTCGTGGCTGCCCAGGACCCCCTGCCGCAGATGTGGCTGAGCTGAGGCTGGAGCTGATCCATGGCGCCGAGACTCTGACCCTGTGGCGGAGCTCAGGGCCCTGGGGCCCCGGCTGGCAGGAGCTGGCGGTGGCCACAGGCCGCATCTGGGGCGACTTCCGGGTGAGCTGGGGGTGGCCTGGACAGGGGGTGCCCTCCTGGGCAGTGGGGGGTCAGGTCGGGCCCGGCTTGGGCCGTAAGGCTCCTTGCTCTCCTCAGGTCACCTTCTCTGCTACCCGAAATGCCACCCACAGAGGTGCGGTGGCCTTGGACGATGTGGAGTTCTGGAGCTGTGGGCTGCCCAGTAAGCCCCCTGCCTGGGGCAGGACCACTGCTTCAGAACATGGTCTCGTACCACCTGGCTCCCTGGGAGGGGCAGGGGTTAACAGCACTCCTCAGCCCTGCCTGGTTCCTGCTCAGACCCTCTCACCACCTCTCCCCCAGCGTATGCCCCCCAGGGTCTTGGGGCCAGGGTGACGGGGTTCCCCTCCCCCAGCCCCCAGGGCCAGCTGCCCCCTGGGGCAGCACCACTGCCAAAACAAGGCCTGCGTGGAGCCCCACCAGCTGTGCGACGGGGAGGACAACTGCGGGGACCGCTCGGATGAGGACCCGGCCACCTGCAGTGAGGCTGGGACGACGGCGGGGGAGGGGCTGCAGAGGCCTGAGACCTGACCCGGGGCCCTCAGCTGGGGGCCTGCAGGGAGGGTGGGGCTCAGCCTGGTCATTCTGGGAGGCACCGCTGGTGTGTGAGCCAGAGTTGGAGCCACAGCCACGGGGAAAGCGGCGTGGGCCTTGGGTTCAGCTGGGCTTGGGGAAGAGGCCTGGAGGCCCTGCCCAGGGACGCTGAGCTTCCTCCGCCTCCCACCCTAGGTCACCACACAGTCACCGACTTTGAGACTGGCCTGGGTCTGTGGAATCTTTCAGAGGGGTGGTCCCTCAACCACAGTGCTGGAGGCCTCGAGCACCCTGCCTGGCCGCGCCGAGACCACAGCCGGAACAGTGCCAAGGGTGAGCACCCTGGGGCCCGGCCACTGCCGCTCACCCGCCCAGCCCCCACCACCCCCTCCCTACAGCCACCTGTCCAGCCCCTGTCACTCACCTGGCCATCACCACCTGCCGGGCCAACGTCACCCGCCCAACCACAGCCACCCGCCAAGCCACCAGGCCCACACCTGCCCTCCCCCAGGTTCCTTCCTGATCTCTGTGGCCAAGCCCAGCACCCCTGCTGTCCTCTCCAGCCCCAAGCTCCAAGCCTCTGGTGGCCACTGCGCAGTGAGTCGGTGGGTGGGGGTGCAGGGTCAGCATCCTGGCTGCCCAGCTGTGGAGGACCTCCCCCCGACCGCAGCTCTGTCCCCCCAGCTGGTCTTCTATCGGTACCTGTGCGGGTCTGAGGCTGGCAGCCTCCAGTTATTCCTGCAGTTTCAGGACAACGGTGCCTCCCAGACCCCCGTCCTGCTGCGGAGCCGCCGAGGGGAGCTTGGGGACATCTGGGTCCGCGACCGGGTGGACATCCGGAGCGTGCACCCCTTCTGGGTGAGGGCCAGCGGGGCCGTGCGGGGGCTGTGTGGGGGAAGGCGGAGTGGGGGGGGGGGGGCTGGCAGGGTAGGGAGCCGCACCGGGATGTGTGGGGGCCATGGGGAGGCGGCGGGGCGGGGGGCCGGCAGGGCAGGGACGTGTGGCGGCCATTCGGGGCCAGGCAGGGGACAGAGCAGGGGCAGCGCTGGGGCCCAGGGCCCTCACTCAGCACTACTGGTGCTTGCTGAGCTGTGACAGAAGTGCCCTGAGAGGTGGATGGCGGGGGAGAAGGGCAAGGAACTGGTTGCTGCTTTGGGGGGTGGTGAGGGGCACTGGGTGCCTGCTGAGCCCCTCTGCCCGCAGATCCTGCTGATCGGGCAGACAGGCCCGGGAGGTGTCGTGGGCCTGGATGACCTCATCCTGTCGGACCGCTGCACCCCAGTCCTGGGTGAGCCTACCTCGTGCACTCCCCCACCAAAAGCTCACCGCCCTTGCCCACACCTGACCCAGTTCTGGCCCCACAGAGCCCTCTGCCCTGCAGACGCCGCCCCCACAGCCCCAGAACTCCTGTGAGCCCGGATCCCTGTCCTGTGGGGACCTGTGTGTGCCCCCCGAGCAGCTGTGTGACTTCCAGCAGCAGTGCGCGGGGGGTGAGGACGAGCAGCACTGCGGTGAGGGTGCAGGGCTCCCTTCCTCCAGGTGGAAGGTGGGGGGCAAGGGAGTCCCTGGGAACGGGGCCAGGGGAGGTCCTGGGAGCCACATCGTTGGGTGGGAGTCCCCAGGAATGGGGGCAGTTGGGGGTGCTGGGTCCAGGGCGGGTGGGGGTCCTGGGTCTGGGCTGAGTGGGGGTTCCCAGGAATGGGGCTGGGTGGGGGCCCTGAGAGCCGCCCGGGTAGGGGCCCTGGGCACATTCAGCACAAACTGCCTTGCAGGCACCACAGACTTCGAGTCCACGGCTGGGGGCTGGGAGGACACCAGTGTGGGGCGGCTGCAGTGGCAAAGGTTGGAGGCCCCGGAGAGCAGGGGCCCTGCCGGTGAGGCCCGTGAATCACGCCCAGAAGGGTCTCCCCACCTGCTTCTCTCAGTAGGGAGGGTCCCTTCACTGGGGTCTCTAGTGGGGTGCCCCTGAACCCCGGGAGGGCTGACTCTAAGCAAGGTGCTCTTCCTGTGCCCCAGGACACTTCCTGTCCCTGCAGAGGGCCTGGGGGCAGCTGGAGGCTGTGGCCACTGTCCTCACGCCAGCCCTGGGCCCCTCAGGCCCCGCCTGTGAGCTCCACATGGCTTACTACTTCCAGAGTCACCCCCAAGGTACCTGGCCCTGGGGGCCAAGCTGACAAGGCGTGGCGCTCCCTGGAGGGAGGGAGGGAGGGGTCAGGGACAGTATGATGACACCCCTCACCAGGCCTGCTGGCACTGGTCGTGGTGGAGGGCGGCTACCGGGAGCTGGTGTGGCACGCTCCGGGCAGCAGCAACGGCAGCTGGACAGTGCACACGGTCCCTCTCGGGGCACGCCGCCGGCCCTTTAGGGTAAGGAGGGCAGCCGGGGTGGGGGAGTCCTGAGCTGGCACCTGTGTGACCATCACCCCCCCACCACTTGTTCCCCTCCCCCTGGTGAAGCTGGAGTTTGTCGGCCTGGTGGACCTGGACGGCCCCAGCCAGCAGGGTGCTGGCGTGGACAATGTGACTCTGAGGGGCTGCAGCCCCATGGTGACCACCGAGAAGGACAGAGGTGCTTGGTGGCTCTGTCCTGCTCTGCCTCCACCCTGGCCCCCGCCCTGAAGATCAAGGCCGGTGGGGTGGGGGGTGGGGGATGGTGGGGTAGAGCTGACCCTCTTCGGCCCCGCTCCCAGAGATCACCTGTAACTTCGAGCGGGACACATGCGGCTGGCACGCTGGCCACCTCACAGATGCCCACTGGCACCGAGTCAAGAGCAGCGGCCCAGATTACGACCACACCACGGGCCAAGGTAGATCCAGGGCTTCCCAGAGCTGGGCACCTTCCCCGTGGCCTGGCGTCCACCAGTCAGCCTGCTGTCCCATCTGCACGCAGGCCACTTTGTGCTTCTGGACCCCGCTGAGCCCCTGGCCCGGGGCCCCGGCGCCCAGCTGCTTACCGGGCTGCAGACGCCAGGGGCGCTGACAGAGTGCGTGTCCTTCTGGTACCACCTCCACGGGCCCCAGATAGGTATGTGACTCCTGGGGGGCACCTGGGTGCTGAGAGGACCGAAGGCAGGCTGGAAGGGAACTGAGTCACTCCCTCCAGGGACACTGCTCCTGGCCATGCGGCGGGAAGGGGCCATGGAGACGGCCCTGTGGTTACGCTCAGGCTCCCACGGCAACCGGTGGCACCAGGCCTGGGCCACCCTCACTCACCAGCCCGGCTCCAAGTACCAGGTGAGCCAGCCTGGGGTGGGGCGTCGCTGGGGCCCCGTGGGCTGACCCTTCTTCCCAGGTGACCCCTCCTCCCTGGCTGTGAGAGGTGGGTGCTGGGGGCTCCCCTGCTGGCTGACGCCTCCACCCCAGCAGTGGGAGAGAGAGGCTGGGGTCCAGCCCCCTACCCGCTGACTCCCCTGCCAGCCGACCCCTCTGTCCTGGCCGTGGGAGGGGAGGTGCTGGGGGCCCACACTGGCTGATCCCCTCTGCCCCCAGCTGCTGTTCGAGGGCCTGCGGGATGGCTTCCAGGGCACTATGGGGTTGGACGATGTTGTTGTGCGGCCTGGTCCATGCTGGGCCCCCAGGCACTGCTCCTTTGAGGACTCAGCCTGTGGCTTCTCCACGGGCGGCCAGGGCCTCTGGAGACACCAGACCAACGCCACAGGTCAGGCTGTACAGGGCCCCTGGGCAGACCACACCACCGAGACAGCACAAGGTATCGGGTGGACAGGGGCTCGGGGGGCTCGGGGCTCAGGCCGCAAGGGTGGCCAGGTGGCTACCCTGACACTCGTACTGTTCCCAGGGCACTACATGCTAGTGGACATGAGCCCCCAGGCGCTGGCCCGTGGCCACGTGGCCTCCCTGAGCTCGGAGGAGCACGGGCCTCTGGCCCAGCCGGCCTGCCTGACCTTCTGGTACCACCTGAGCCTCCAAAACCCAGGTGAGGGGTGGGGGAAGGGGCTCTGGTAGGCTCCAGCTGTGCCCTGGGGTCCAGGTGTCTCCACTCCCATGCCTGGGCTGGAGGTCTTGGGGAGCCCCCTCCCCTGTGACTGTGCTGACCTTGGCCCCACGTGGCAGGCACCTTGCGGGTCCACGTGGAGGAGGGTGAGCGACGCCAGGTGTTCAGCGTCAGTGCCCACGGTGGGCTGGCCTGGCGCTTGGGCAGCGTGGATGTGCAGGCTGAGCGAGCCTGGAGGGTAAGTGGGCCAGCGGGGGTGAGGGGCCTTACCTGGGCCAGAGTCAAGGCTTAGCATCCTGCCCCGCATCCCCAGGTGGTATTTGAGGCCGAGGCCGCGGGTGTGGAGTACGCGTACGTTGCAGTGGATGACCTGTCTCTCGAGGATGGGCCTTGCCCTCAGCCAGGTGGGAGGCCACTGCCCAACACTGGTGGCGCTGGGGCCATGGGCAGACCGCGGAGGCTGGGGGCCATGGGAGGGGCAGTCACCGCCGGACCTCCTTGCAGCATCCTGTGACTTTGAGTCTGGCTTGTGTGGCTGGAGCCACCTGCCCTGGCCCAGCCCGGGCGGGTACAGCTGGGATTGGAGCAGTGGGGCCACGCCCTCCCGGTACCTCCAGCCCTCCGTGGACCACACCCTGGGCACTGAGGCAGGTGAGCCCTGCCAAACCCAGGAGGGGTTCAAGCCTCGGAGGGGGGACCTCGGAACCAGAGCTGGCCCCAGGAGCCAGACATGCCCCCCTCATGGTGCCTGCCTGGCACCCTCCACTGTCCCCAACCTGGGCTGGTTTGGGGGTCCGGCTCTCCGTGTGCCCACGCTTAAGTTCTGCATTAGCCAGCCAGGACCTGTTGGCACTCTGCCACCCCCTCTTGTCCCAGGCCACTTTGCCTTCTTTGAAACTGGTGTGCTGGGACCGGGGGGCCGGGCGGCCTGGCTGCGCAGTGAGCCGTTGCCTGCCACCGAGGGCTCCTGTCTCCGCTTCTGGTACCACATGGGCTTCCCTGAGCACTTCTGTGAGTGGGGCTGGGGCCAGCGGGGGCCCGAGGTGGGACAGCCTGTGTCTCTACCTCTGGGGAGTCCAGGCCTGACCACCTTCGTCCTCTGCCCCCAGACAAGGGGGAGTTGAGAGTACTGCTGAGCAGCACCCGGGGGCAGCTGACCGTGTGGGGCACAGGTGGGCATCAGCGGCACCAGTGGCTGGAAGGGCAGGTGGAGGTGGCTAGCCCCGAGGAGTTCCAGGTGAGGCTGGCCACAGGAGCAAGGGTGGCTTCAGGTCCCCAGGCAGGGAGTGGGGTTTGGGGCCGGCAGGGTCCCTCCCCGGGATCCGCTCAGCCCTGCTGTCTCCCGGTCAGCTCATGTTTGAAGCCACGCTGGGTGGCCAGCCAACCCTGGGGCCCATCGCTCTGGACGATGTACAGTACTTGGTCGGGCAGCCCTGCCATCTACCTGCACCCAGCCAGGGTGAGCCAGGCTCCAGATAATGGATGGATGGGGGTGGGCCTGCGCCAGCCCTCCCTCCTCCTCCCCTGTGCCCACTGAGCTAGCTCCCTGCCTGCCTCCCTTTTCCCCTCCCAGCTGTGCCCTGGCTGGAGCCCTTGCCCAACCACATCTGCACCCCAGAGCCCAGCAGGGCCAGGGCAGGTTGGGGAAGCGAGGGCGGCAGCCACCAGGGGAAGGAGGCCGGGGCAGGTCTAGCCCAGCTGTGACCTCCCAGAGCCCACAGACGGCAGGGCTCCCTGGGGTCAGTCTCTGTTCTCTCCTGGGAGTGTCTGGACCTGGGTGGCAGCCTGGCCGATGCCCTCCGGCGTTTCCCCTTGTAGAGGGCGGCCCCAGGAGCCAGGAGGGCAGGGCGCCCGGCCAGGACACGAGGCTCAGGTCTGGTCCGTATCTGCGGCCCGCAGGGGACGGGCCCGCCCCCACGTTGGTGCCCGTCGTGGTCGGCGGCGCCCTCTTCCTCTTGGTGCTCCTGGGCCTGCTTGGATTTGCGGGGCAGCGCTGGGTCCGGAAGAGAGGGGGCTGCCTCTTCCTGGGGCGCCGAGAGACCGGGGCAGCGCAGGGCTTCGACAACATACTCTTCAACGCGGTAGGAAGGCGGGCCGTCGCCTGCGGGGGCGGGGCCTACAGGTGATGGGGCGGGGCCGAGCCTAGGGGAGGGGTAGGACCGGGGGCGGGGCCTACAGGTGGTGGAGCCGGGCAGGACCGAGGGCGGGGCGACAACGTTCTCGTCAAGGCGGTAGGAGGGCGGGCCGGCGCCGGTGGGGGCGGGGCCTAGATGTGCTGGGGTGGGGCCGAGAGGAGGCGCGCGACATTACCATCAACGCGTAAGGGGCGGGGCCTGCGGCCTCCCGGGGAACCTGTGGACTACTGGGGACAGATCCTCACCCCTCACCCACCCCCTTCCTCCCCAGGAAGGCATCACGCTCCCGACGCCCGTCGCCAGCGACCAGTAGCCGCTCGCAGACTCGGGGCTGCCTCTCCAGGAACAGCTCCAGGCCGAGTGTGGTCAGGGTCAGGGACAGCTCAGGCCCTGCAGCGATACAGGACAGTTCCCACCGGCCCCTCACCCCAGGCTGGGCCCCAGGAGCCGAGGGGACCTGGAAACCTCCACCCCCCGTCGCTGGCCTAGGGCCTGTCTGATCCCTGAGGAGGATGGTGGTCACGCACCTCAGGAATAAACACCCCGTGCTGTCCCCAGTTCTGGCTCCCAGGCTGTGGTTACTGCCCCCATCTGCCCTGACTCACGCACAGCTGGCAGGCTCTCAGGAGTGACCTCACACCCTAACTCGGGAGACGGATATGATATAGGAGAACATGCTCTTAGATGACCAAGGGGACAGGAGAGCCACAGGTCAGACAGGGCGGGAGTGACCCAGGAACAAACAACGGCAGGAACCTGAGAGGGCACAGCCAGGCTACGCGAAGTGCCTACGGGCAAGTGACCCTGCCAGGGTTCCAGCAACACCAGAGTCAAGGTCCCCAGGGACACTCTCCACGGTGGAGGTCCCTGCATCCACTCTCCACGATGGAGGTCCCCCATGTCCCCATGTCCACCCACCACGGTGGAGGTCCCCGTGTCCACCGCCCCACAGTGATTGCAGTCTCTGGAATGGGGCATCTCCATGTGGTCCTCACACTCGATGCTGCCGTTGGGCACTCCTGAGCATCTCACAAAGCCAAGCCCTGAGGTCCCTATCCCCTCCCCATGGGTTCATACCCTGGTCTAAGGTACTAGGAGTTTGCTCGGTCCTCGCTCATCTGGAGGGTTCTGAGACCCAGGGCTGACGTGCACGTGGGGACTTGGGGCTGCCTCTCCTGCACCCCTGGAGACCTCCCTGAGGGCGGGCCCCATCCGGCCTTCCTCCAAGAAGGAGGAGACCGTCACTTAGCACCAGGTGGGCATCTGTGGAGGGAAATGTTCCCGAGACTCCAGGAGCAGAGCCCCTCACAGGCCAGGCAAGGCCTCACAGCAGAGCCCCCTACCGCAGGCAGGGTGCCGTCACGGGGCTCCCCTCCCAAGGGAAGTGTGAGGGTCAGGCCCGCAGCCACAGACGCCATCCTGGGTCCTCCACGGGTGCTGAGCGGCAGACCAGCACCACCCACTGCCCCGGGACGATGTGGTGCCCAGGGAAGGACCCTGCCTGGTAGAAGGCGGCCTTCAACACCCCCAGCCCCACGGGGCTCCTCACGGAAACCCTGGCTTCCTTCCCAACAGCCAACGTCCAGGGAGCCGGGAGTCTTAGATTAATGATCTACCACAGCAGGAAAAGCAGCGGACTTTTATTAGCTTCTCTGAAAGCTCCAGGAGGGGGAAGCCTGCATGAACCGCCCAACGGCCCTCTACCACTTCCCGAGAGGCGGCCCCACCTCAGACCCCCAAACCTCACAGCTAACACTACCACCGCTCAGGTGTGCGTGTGGGGACAGGATGGGGGAAAAAAACAGGCAGGAGAGCCAAAGACTTTGCAAGGTTTTGTTTGTTTGACAGCAGGTATGGGATGAGGAGGTTCCCCAGCAAGGCCGGTGCCCCACGCGCCGCTGGCCAGGTGAAGAGACCCATGCTGGTTCTGGTGGTCAGGAACCAGCCAACGAGATCAGCCGCAACAACTGATTTCGAGGCTTTGTGTTCATTTCGCCCTTGGCCCCTTCTCGATGGGCTTCCCAATGTCCTTGCCCCGGAGCTTGAGGCCTGCAAGGGACGGAAGCCTGACGACTCCACGGCCCCCCGACTCCACATCCCCCCCAGTTCCTGAACCCACCCACGACTCGGCAGTCCCCCACCCTCCCTGACTCTGCAACCCCCTAGGATCCTGAACCCATCCGTGACTCCACAGCCCCCCACCCTCCCTGACTCTGCAGGCCACAGACTTCACAGCCCCCTCCCAGGCTCCTGAACCCACCC